TTAGCAGGCTGAGAGAGCGGTTCCGCCTCCGTGTCGGAGTCAATATCAGAGCAAAGGGAAGCCTTAATCTCACTATCTTGAATCTCAGATAACACCTCTTTTGTTGCTTCCAAAGCCTGCTTAACCCGGACTTTCTCTTTAAGCAAAGCATCCCTGATCAGTCTCCAAAGGGAGAACACAGCGATTGGCAGGACTTAAAGCCCCTCCTTTCTCAAAATTTTTTGAAGATCCCCACTTACCTGTTCCCATTCAGAAATATTGAGGGCTCCACTGGTGACAAACCAGGGACTCCACATTTCTATAGCTTTAAGAAAATCTTCTAAAGTCTTAATTTTTACAGTTGTTCCCTGTTCTTTCAACAATCTCTTTAACTGAAACTTTAACTCTGATTTACCCGGGATATTCTCCATTTCTTAATTATCTCTTATAATTATCTCTTAATCCCCAATGCGTCATGGCTGGACTACAGGATGACCCGGTCCACTAACCTCTCTTTCTGATCTCAGCTATCTCAGTGGAGACCTCCAGTTACCACGCCAGAGCAGGCTGGAACCAAGAGTCTCGGCGGAGGGTGTCCAGGTTGAATGAATTCACAGAGCACAAGGTTGAGGTGGAACAGCTTCTTTATTGTTCTGCTGGGGCTAGCTTTTATACCATGGCACCAAAAGAGGAGGAGGCTGCAAAGGGACTGTCACCTGACCCCAGCAGGGATCAAGGAATGATCACGTGCACGCAAACTTCCTTTCCCAACTCCAGGAGCAGAGGGAAGTTATTATGTTTTCTTTGCAGATAAGCACCTCAAATGGGGGCAGGGATATGTAACTCGGGACTGCAATTACCATACCTATGTACATTTATCTAACACTGTGACCCATTTATATATCTTTTTATCTTGATTTGTCTTTATTGCATATTTGTAATTATTTTTTGACCAGAAGCACTTTTTAAAATGCTAAGTGCTTAAGAATCTAGGCTGTGACATTACTAGGTCAAATATGGTACTACCTGCTTGCCCTGCCCAGTCTAAAACTTAAACAGTGCCATTACTATGATATATATAGTACTGCCTGCTCACTCAGCACAATCGCTCAACACAGTCCAGCATGGCAGAGCTACTGCTGCCTCTGAGGCAGTACCCCATCTCTAGGTACACAGCTGGTCCATCCCCCAAAAAATGAACTATGGATATTTTCCTTTGCTTAGAATCTTGGTTAGAAGTTATTATGCATAATTGTTAGGAGAAAAGCTAAACAAAGGATATTAGATTCAGAGTTCTTGTTTTTTTTATTTTTAAAGGGGGGAAGAAGTGCTGTGGGGCAATGTCACTTATATTTTAAATATAAGTACCCTGTCACTGGTATTTTAAATAAATGCCGATTGGCCAGTAGCCAGGCAGGAAGTATAGGCAGGATGATGATGCAGGAAGTAGAGGTGGGGCAATGAGAATTCTGGGAAGAAGGAAGCACATTCTGAAGTCATGATCCAAACACAGTGCAAGCAAGATGTGACTGCCCCACTGAAAACGGTACCGAGCTGTTTGGCTAACATAGACAAGAATAATGTGCTAATGCAAGTTATAAGAGTTAATAAGAAATCTGAGCTATTAGACCAATCAGTTTATAACTAATATAGACCTCTGTGTGATTTCTTTGGGGCTGAATGACTGTGGGACCAGGCAGGACAAAAACTCAGACAACAAGTGTCAGTTCCCCACCACAAGTTTTTATGTCATTACTCAGAGATCCACCTTTACTTTATTTCAACAAATCTTACAGGGCTAGTACTCCTATAGGACCCCAACTGTTCTGAGCACTCATTGGCCTGCCTAGCTCCTTCCCACCTCCCAACTCATTACTTAAGTCTCACAACTTTCCTTTGTTCTTTTCCAGGCTTTTCATCAAGGCCTCAACACTCTAAGTCCAACTGGTGCATGGCCTCACTCCAACCAGTTAGTCCTCTTATTTTTTTTCTCAATTTATCTGCTTCCTGGTCCTGTGCCTGAGACCTTACTCTAGCATTGATTAATCAGAGCTCCTCAGATTCTGATGAGTTCAACAGTGTCTTCTAGTGGCTAACCCAGTTTAGTGCATGGTTACACACATGACTTTCCAGTCCTTGATGCAGCAGTGGTGGGTTGGGGCCTAATTGGCTTCATACATTGCTGTGGTGGGCATGAACTTATGTGTAGGTACAGATGTGGCTGTATGTCAGTTTATACCTCTTGTATAAGAGACACCAGAGTTTGGGCAAAAGCCTTGGAGATTAAGCCTAGGAATAGCAGACAACTGGGAGTAGCCTCAGAAATCCACATCAACAGTAGTACAATGTGGACTGAACTTCACCATATATTCTCACCAATAGCTCTGAACATTCACTTACCTGGGTGTGAGAGACAGCTATCCTTGTATTGAAGATCTGACTGGGAAGCCTGGAGGTGGAAGACTGTGATGTCCATGACCAAAGAGAGCTTGATTCCCCCATAAACCTGCCTCTTGCTTTAGTTCTTACTATTGTGTAACTCAGTATCCATGGATGACGGGTCAGAGGCCACCCTTGCCAACCCAAGCCTCCTGCCAGCCTATTATGGCCTGTCTCCTTCTAAGTGTGGATGTACACAGATAGAAAGCCTGGACCCTTCTCCACTTAAACCAGGCTCTCTTTGCCCTTAGGTTGTGAACTCACCAAGACACAAGGCTGTGAGGAATGAAGGTCTGTGATCTGTGATACCATGTTGTGTGTGGTTTGCCAATTACATGAAGGACAGTGGGATTCAATACACCCAAACCCTTGTCTGCAACTATATTGGAAGAGATGTCATTAATCTGGGAAGATGTAATCTTTTGCCTGTTAGATCCTACCTACTTTGTATAATAGTTCAGTCTACTAACTAAACATATTTTCTGATCCACTGATTGTTGTCTCTTGTGGTTCTTGAGCCAGATAAGCAAGAAACTTCCCCTGACCATGATGAACAGAAGCAAGTCATGAGTGAGGCTTTCATTTTTGTTCCTCAAGGAGTATGCTTTTATATCTCTTCTGGTGAGCTAAGAGTATTGGTGGCAGTGACAAAGACAAGTATGAGACACAGAGGATCCAAGAATGTCCCTCTATACTAAGTACCAACTCACTCAGAAAAAAAAAACCCTAATTAGGCCCAGGGGGGCCTCTGTCCTGTGTATTCCTCTAGGGAATGGTGACCTCTTTCAGCACTGACAACACATTGTACTCTTGATAACTGTCTCTACAAATCTATCCTATTCTGAGAGGTTCTCCAAAATTCCACAGATTGATACCAGTTATCTCAATCACAGCCCTTAGCATTGAATTTGTCACTGAATAGGTAGGTAACCTTTGAAAAGGAGAGGCAGTAGGCCAAGTTCAATGGAGTTTCAGATGACATAGAAAATGTTTCTGAAACTGAAGGGCTGGGCTGTGATGTGTTTCTCTGTTTGGAGCCTGAGAAAGTATCCGAGAAAGATAAGGTTTGCTTGCCCCTCTTTCCAGCAGTTTTATGGTTTTATGTTGTTTGTCTTATAATGGGCCAAACTGTGACTTGTGTTTGTGTTCTATGCTCAGTACCTACCAGAAATGTACCATCAGCAATCACGATGAACACTATGAAAAATGGTGTAGAAGAATGGTGCTGTGGGAGCTCCTTCAGGCAATAGCTTTTAAGATACCAGACCACTTGGGTGTGGTCTCTTACAATATAAATGCCAAGGTAAAGTGCAGGCTCACTCTCTCTCTTCCAGCTGATGGATTCAGTTCTTGTTTCCCATTCGTGCAGAAGACTGTGATCTATGGGTCTACCCCTAAATAAATAACCCTTTATTATACTCTATTATAAGCTAGTGTGATATTTGTTTATAGTGTCCATCTTCAGAACATGCTGTGAATGACACCAAGGAAATTAAGGCCTTGCCTTGGCAAGGATACAGACTTGACAGAGCAGTGACAGGTGTTTCATGAAGGTATGTAGAATATGGTGCTGACACATTAGAGAAGAGACCTTAGGATGCCACTCAGTACATTGGTATTTGTTTTGGTGTGAGCTGAAGGATGAATGCTGAACTTTCTTGAAACAGCACTCTGTCTTTAGGCTCACCAGAGGAACTGGGATATGGTAAATAGGACAGGGTTCCTCAGACTCAGGTAGTTACTTCTCCACTCTAGTTCTCTGGTCCTATTTATGGTCTGAGAGCCAATGTCAGGAAAGAGTCTGTTTGTAGCATTGCTCTGTGTGTTTCTGATTGTGTACAAATGGCAATGCTTGTGACAGGCAGCACGGATACCAAGTGACTGACATGGTTTCTAGAGCTCAATCCCTGGCAAAGGAGGGTGTGACCACTATAGGCTCTGGGGGTGGGGTGTAATGGTGCTGAGAAGGTATCTAAATAACACCTCATCAACTCACCAACTCACCATCACAGTGTAGACTCTAAAGTCAAAACAACATTGAGCCACCAATGGCTTGCTGAGTGAGCAAGATGCACTATGGGCTGTCCCCAGCTCCACCCAGACTGCTATGCTCTCATGAATGGGACGTCAGTGAGGACTTTCCTGTCGCTGTGCTTCTGTAGCCTTAGTACCTTGGCCTTCAGGGGAAAAGAAAACTACCAGGAAAAGACTCTATTACTTTGGTTGCCTGCTGTTGCCTGGATTGCACATAAATGGTGTTTAGTGTCCTGGGGCCCCCATGTGCTTTCCCATGGTGTCCTTTCTGTCAAAACCTAGGAAGTTCATGCACAGCATCCTGGGGACCAGGTGGCAAGCCTGGGGCCAGGCACTGAGTTGCCACCAATGCCCTGGGAAATCTGTGATGAAGAGGGAAATCAAAAGAAAAGCCCAACGATGTCGGGTCCTCCCATGGTGCAAGAGCTCTCTGGAGAGGTTCCTCCAGGCAAGGAAGGGTGACTCTCACCCAGCCATTTCTTATCTTAAATGTCCTAAATCTAGCTCTGACTCTTTGAGGTTGATTAAGAAAGGATAAGTGGGGGACATTTTGTAGCAACATTTTGCAGGTTCTGTTGCAAAGTTTCTAGTATCTGTCTTCCTTTTGTATCAGGTAGTTTCCCACCCCCATGTGCTGAGAGGAATGGTCTGTATCTCAGGGACCAAGGCATAGTAGTGCTCACCCCTTAGCAGATGGGCATCTAGTTGAAGGCATGCTCATACAGGGCTAATGGGTTCTTGATAGTAACCCTCAGCTCCTGATCAGAAATTTCCTGATGACCTCTGTTGGGGGTGCAGACACAGGACAATGGAATATCCTGAACAATGTGAGGTGATGCTAGTAGCCAATAGGCAAGTGCCAGGGGAGCATATATTTTCAGGCTTGCTTTCCACCCTCCTGGGAAGAATGCTTTGCTGAGATCTCAAAAATATTGCTGGTTCTCCTAAAAAGACAAAGTGAATCCAAGATTGGGGAAGCCAAGCATACAGGATGGTACAGAGGGTAAGATATGATTCTGGCGTCTAGTTTAGATTATTTATTTGCCATCATGGTATTTACATTTTTGATGCCAAAAGTTGATATATTCTTAGGAGAAATTTTCTACTGGTCTTCAGGGACCTGCGAGTTCATAAGCGTGGACTATTCTTTATGGGTTCACAGATTACACACTTGTAATCTGAGGAGCCCTCCTGCTCCTCATCGGGAGATTCATTTGTTGGCCTTCCTAAGAGGGTAGACAACAGGGCAGAACAAGAACTGTTGTACAGAGACATCATAGAACCTAAAATGGGTTGCTCTGATGAACTAGCACTTAGATTTTCTTCTGTGCCTTGAATTCCAGGAGCATTTGGAGGCACACATATAACAGTACCTGAGGTATCATCTGCAGTTGGATTACTTGACTCCCTAGGAGGCTGCATTTTTAGGGAACATGGAGGAATAAATTTCATAGCCCATACAGCAGAGAATACAAAGCCTTGATTTCCTTTGTGTGCCTGATCATTGGAGCTTTTCTTCTTGGCATCTTCACAATCTTCCTCAGGTTTGCAGTAGAATCGTGGAGAATATCTGGTAGGTGACTTCTTCTTTTTTGAAGTTGGCTCTTGAGAAGATCTAAGTGGAATGGGTACAGAGAGAGCTTGGTGGGCAAAATTTTTTAAGTCTTCTTTGCCCCAGATATACTCAACAAGTCCAGGCTTATCTCTCTGAAAGTTGAAGTGACGGTACATCTGAAACAAAATGAACAGTTTAACTATCCTGAGATGAAATATGTATTGATCCCCATAGCCCCTTTCACCACCAGTCACATTGTCCTAGTTTGTGATTTAAAAATAACAAGCTGGCAATGATCCTTAAACAGTATGTAAGTTAAGATTATAATACATATATACATATAGACACACAGACACAGACACACAGACAGACACACACACACATACACACTGGTGTACATGCATGCACCACTATATGGCTTTTCATAGCCATCCTTCTTGTTTGATTACTTTTAGGTGGACCCTATGTAATTTACAAACAAAGCCACTACATTCAAAATCTACTTTTTGACACTTTTGTGACCTCCTGCTAAAATAGAACTGACATCATTTATGGCATAGATTGGGGGAGATATGCGTGTGCTTCTGTTGTTAAATTAGGACAAAAATACTTTGTACATTACCATTATTCTCTTGTACTCTTTAGAGAAAGCCACAGATGTCTCAGGGTATAACTTTCTGAATCCATACATGTTGAGCTGGCGAATAAAAGTCTTCAAACTGTCTGTTTCAAAAATCTTCTTTGCCCCCTTTAGATGAAGGACCTCTTTCTGGAAAAGGTCTACCTCAATCATTATGGCGTCTCCTTCCTTAGTCCACTTCATTGACTTGAATGCCTCATTCTGCACAATGGACCAAAGCTTCCTGGGGAAGGGCAGACTGAAGAGGTTGGTGTTATCTTCCTCACTGGCTAGAGGTTGGCTTTGGTCTTCAGGTAGTGCGCTCTCTTCATAGGCTTGATCTTGTATGACATCTTGATCATCTTGTCTCACCAGACCCTCTCTTGAATCTGTTTCTGAATCATGTGAAGAATTATATATATCAAGAGCCTCGCTTTCAGGTTCTTGATTAACAACTGGGCTCACATTGATTTCACAATTCTCTTCTACACTCTGACTAGCCATGATGCTATATACATCCATCAGGAATATTCTGAATAGCAGACCACAAGTCCCTGTCCTAGTAAGTCAGAGTGTTGGTTCCAGTGGGAACACCCAATAAATAGTGACTATAAAATTCTAGATTCTCAGAAGGCATCTGTTGAAGTCATTATTCTCTTTGTTTGTCATGTAATGTCACTAAGATGGCTCATAGTCAGTCTGGAGAGGGAGGTCAGACCAAGTATATGTGATAAGCAGATATATAGGTAGGAAGGCTCAAGTTCTTCTCTTTCCTATTCTAAGATATAGTGTAAATTCTCAGAAAAAGAGTCCTATATGATGAGACATATCTTGCCATGGGACCTATATGAGTTGAAAAGCACAAGCACCTTTGACTCTCTCAGTCCTCAAGATTGGGAATGGTTGTTACTACTCTCTCTGTTTAGCTCAAGGACCAGCCCTTAGTTAATACAATCTTGGGTCTTGGGTATTAGGATGAATGTATATATATATATATATATATATATATATATATATATATATATATATCTGTGTGTG